TCCGCTATTCCCGAGGCAAGCTCGAAGTTCTTGACCAGCTGCGCCTCCCCCACGAATTCCACTACGATGATGTATCAACCCGCCAGGAAGCCTTCGACAGCATCGCCACCATGCGAGTTCGCGGTGCTCCAGCCATTGCCATTGTCGCCAGTCTAGGACTTGCCGTTGAGCTCTACAAGGGTCCGGTACCTGGAAACACATCTCAACAAGTCATCGCCCACATTGACGAAGCTCTTGATTACTTGAAGCAGAGCCGTCCCACAGCCGTCGATCTCACCAACGCAATAACCCAGCTCAAGGCACGGATACGCAGCTCTGGCGAAACCAAGGAGTCTGTTATTGACGGGTTCATTTCCGAAGCAGAGCAAATTTTCGAGAAGGATCTCAAGACTAACCTTGCCATTGGTGACTACGGCGCCGAATGGCTCAAGGCCCAGGTCGGAGCTACTTCAGACAACACTGCGTCGGTCCTAACACATTGCAATACCGGCTCGCTCGCTACTTCTGGCCATGGCACCGCTTTGGGGATCATCCGAACTCTACAAGCCAATGGGCAGCTGCGTCATGCATTCTGCACAGAAACGCGACCCTACAACCAGGGCAGTCGGCTTACGGCCTTTGAGTTGGTACATGAAGGAATCCCCAGCACCCTTATTACCGACTCTATGGCGGCATCGTTATTCCGCACCAAAAAGGCAGAGAAAAACATTGCCGCTGTCATTGTTGGTGCCGACCGAGTCGTTCGAAATGGGGACACCGCCAACAAGATTGGCACCTACCAGCTTGCTGTGCTGGCAAAGGCCCACGGAATCAAGTTCATGGTTGCGGCGCCTACTACCAGCATTGATTTGGAGACGGAGACTGGAGATGGAATCAAGATTGAGGAACGAAAGCGCGAGGAGTTGACACAAGTGACGGGTGCGGTCATAAAGGATGACGGCAGCGTTGATGAAAGCTCCAAAGTCAGAATCGCTACAGCAGATCAGAGGATCGATGTGTGGAATCCGGCGTTTGACGTGACTCCGGCTGAGCTGATTGATGCGGTGGTCACAGAGAAGGGTGCTGTTGAGAAGGGGACCGATGGCAAGTTCGACTTTCGCAACATTGTGCCGGAGCGATGGGCGAAGGTTGTCGGCCAGTAGACGGTGCTCTGTCGTGTTGAGGCACCTTGCAGCAATTAATAATGATGGGATCTTGTAGCTAGCAGCTCTGATCCACAATGATAGATCTATGACTTCTTATATGCTACCACAGTTAATTTTACCACGTCGCCCGGCGCAATTATGGTTTCAGAGCGTGAACAATCAGCTTCTGATACCCCTCCACGGCCTCTTCCAAATCCGCAACTGTCAAATTCTCTCTCGCCCCGTGAGCCACCAGAATAGTACCAGGGCCGTACAAGTATCTTGTATGATTGCCCGCCAGGTTGGGAATATCTGTACCATAATTCACTGTAACCTGTTTGAAACCTGCTCGAATCATTAGTGGTATTTCCTGCAACTGCGCACTTGGAGAAACTCACCGTCCACCTCGCAGTCGCACTCTACAGATCCATATCCATGGTCGCAAACCATCTCAAATGCATCCTCGTCAACTTCATCCAAAATTGCCTGAATCTTTTCCTTGACAACCAGCTGGCCAGTCGCCTCGGGGCCAATCGCCACTCTCGTAACAAACTTCACTCTGGCAGTTTCCGGGATAACATTCCCTGCGAGGCCCCCGTTAAAGGTGCCAATGTTGAACGTCGTGTTGCCAAATAACTTGGAGCTGCCGAGATCCGCGTCGAGAATCTTAGTCATGGCACGAACCATGAGTTCGTTGGCGGATTTTCCGAGCCATGGATATCCGCTATGGCCAGGAACACCCGTTGCCACGACGGTGCAAAAGAGGCCACCCTTGTGACCACACGCCAGCTGGTTCTCCGTTGGTTCGCCGAAAATGACAGCCTTGAATTGAGGAGGCGGTTTCATCTTGGAGATGGAGTTGTTGAAGGCTTGCATGCCCGCGCCGCCAGCTTCTTCTCCCACGACGAAAACGAGCATTACGTCGTTGGTATTGATTGCATTAGCGCTGTCAAGTTGGTTGAGGGCGGTGATCATGGAAGCTACGCTGCCCTTGGCGTCGACTGATCCTCGCCCTCTAATCATGGTCTCTTTGGTCACTTTCCCAGAGTCAATGCCGTAGGGAATATGAGGAGGAACGACATCGATGTGACTTGACACCACGACCTTTGGCGTGGCCATCCGTTTGCCTTTCCAAGCGAGCACATTGAAGCGTTCCTTTCCTTTTGGAGTGCTGTCACTGGGAGCGACAAATTGCAAATCGGCATGGTACCCGCGTTCAGTGAGGTAGTCCACAAGAAATTTGCCTACCGCATTCTCATCCCCAGAGATGGATGGTATTGACACGAGGTTCTTGTGCAGACTGAGTAGTTCGTCGCGGTACGATGGAGCTCCGTCTTCTGTTGCGATGCTGCCCAACGAACGTTGGTGTTCATGGCATGCCGCCGATGGCACCAGTCCAAGGGCTGCAAAGACAATCAATAATGAGCGCATCGCTTCCGTCTCCCTCTGTGCCACAGCCTCAATTGAATGCAAATTGAGATATTTGGCTTTGGTTGCAATATGACATTCGCTGCACTGGCTCTGTCTCCTTCGGGTTCGGGCGGCCAACCGCGTTCCAGCCCGAAGCTACCTTTCCCCACGTGATGTGGCGTCATACCACCTCCATCACGGTTGTTTTTGAACATGTTTCTTTTCGTCACTCGTGGACTCATCTCAGTTCGTAACTTTCAGTAATGGAGGCCGGCTGTACTTCGTACCTTGCCGAGAAATATTGACCAATCATTCGATATGCACAGCAATTTACGGGCTCGAGTCATGCGGCGCGGAGTGCGTCTGACCGTGTTAACCGGAGCGTTATTTTGCAACAACGCTTTTTGAGCTGCGTCTTGGCGGCGTCAACTAGTTAACAGTAGTTATACTCCGCGTTTCTCCCCTCAACCACATGATACCGCGGTTTTATTAGTTTAATTTGCCTGGGATGCTGGTAAAAGCCACAGTTGGTGGCTCGTTTTAGTATGAGGCTAAGAAGCGTCTTGTCTGCTAGAGCTGATGTGAGATCAGCTCCAGTAAGCAACTTAGCCGTTACATAATGCCGTTAGATAGTCCGTAAGCGAACCTTCCACTAAGATGCTTGCGAAGTTGATGAAAGGTGGACACATTTCGATAATTTTCTCTGAAAATTGGCTAACAGGAATGGCTAGCGTATCTATAATGCATCAGTTCTGACGGGTGCTAAGTTTGCTTCGTTTCGTGGATCAGACCCCATGTTGGCATCGTTGCCCCAGCCGGGGCTGTCGATACCGCGGCCATGGGGCCTACTATAAAGTCGGGTTGTCGGCATGCCATGTCGCTGTTTGTGTAACCATCGTATCACACTGTTTGCTACTATCAGCAGTTGTTGTCATTCTTGCCACCATGCCGCGATACATTGATAGCCTGCCCGAGCCGGCCAAGAAGACTCCCGTCAAAATTGTCGTTGCAACAGCAAGCAGGTTCGTCTGTCTGTGAAATTAAGGAAACTCGGTACACTGGCAGTTCTAAAACTCTTGTAGAACGGGGACTTTGAGCGTCTATGAAGCCATGAAGATTCTTGGCTATAGGCCCTACCACATGGCCGAGTGCGTTCTCGAACATGGTGTCAGCCACATGCAGGTCCTCGATGAGGCTCTGGTCGCACATTACGATCGTTACTCCGGCATCAAGCGATGCACAAAAGAAGATTTTGACAAATGGTTTGCCGGTTACGATGTATGTATACACAATCACGTTCCGTTGCATATTTGCGACAGCCACTGAATATAGCAGTGCCTCGTGGAAGTTCCGTACTTCATGGGGCCGGAAATTCTCGAAGCCTATGCCGACGACCCGAACGTCAAGTTCATTCTGACCGACCGCAACCCCGACAAATGGGTCACTTCGGTCAACAACACCGCCGGGAACATTATCAAAATGGGTCGCAGCTTTCCAATGAACATCCTACAGCACTTCAACACCGATATCTGGTGGTTCCTCCGATTGAACAGAACCCTTTACGGAGCTCTTGCGGATGGTACTGTACCCGATGATGAGAACAACGAAGAGGCTTTGCGACGAAACTATGTCTCGTAGTGAGTGAAAGGCCCTTGCGAAGCTCAACTTCCCTTGTCATTTGATGCATCACATTGCTCACAGTTCTTGATGCAGCATCAACATGGCCAAACGCACCATCCCTGCCGATCGCCTCTGCTACTTCCGACTAGAAGACGGCCTGGGCTGGGAACAGCTCTGTCCGTTTTTGGAAGTTCCCATCCCCGATCAAAAATTCCCCGACGCAAATGTGCAGGAGAATTTCAAGCGTATACTTGGTGACTGGATGGCTCCCAGAGTGCAGAGTGCAATGTTCAAGCTGGGCGCTGTGGTTGTTCCCGTGCTAGGATCACTGGCATATTTCGGCGTCAAGTATAACTCGCTGCTGTGGCGAAGCACCTGAATGTTGTATCACGTACGGAGTAGGATAAGACTATGTGCTGCAATGGAGTTGGTGGCTGTGACACGTCGTTCATATTAGGCACTGTGATATGCAATGCATCAATTCGTGCTGTCCGATATGTCATGCTCATCAGTTGAAAGCAACATGGTGTCTGCGTTCTGCGTGTGATCTGCAGGTGGACGGGTAGTTGCATACGTGCGCTCTACGTACGTCCGGAGTTGGGGGCAGCCACGCTTCCAAGCACAGCGCGAGGGCCCGAAGCTTCCGAAGGCCCCCAGCAAATTCCATTGGACGGATACGTGGCGATGTCAATCCCAACGGCAGAGAATATGCAGCGCGATTTAATATGTATTTGTGGGTTTTATTTTCATCCTAGTTTGGCAATTGTGTATATTTATGTATTTTTTGAGAATAGAAATATCTGGCAAAAAATAAATGCCAAAATGACAAACACCAAAAAAATCAAATGCCCTACACTGGAATTGAACCAGTGACCTTTGCATGACCTGAAAGTACAAGTGCAACGCTCTACCCCTAAGCTAGCAGGGCTTTATTGATTGGAGATGGGAAAACATAAATGGACCTATATTCGTAGATTCCAGTGGGCCGAGAATTCAAGCATTCGGCGGGGCTTTCCCGCAGCTTCTAGCATGTCACTCAATTAGAACAATTCGGCCCATTAGAAAGTTGGTAATTAGACATAGATGGGGGTATCACTCCAGTGAAGCTTCTTCGATAGTCCCTTGAAATTATCTGTTTTCAGCAAATTTTTAATTGTAGGCTCTAGAGCCCCTCTAGCTAAACATTCAGCTCTATTTTGTAATTGAGGTGTTTCTTCGCCCCTACCCTACAACTGCCAGGCCATCTTGGAGACAATTCGCTCCATTCAGCAAGATGCACTCACCACGAACGCAGTCAGACGAAGTGAAATGTGGCAAATTTATTGTTTGTCTGCCTTTCTATTTATTTTCTTAAATCCTATTTCTCTGGGGAGGCGACATCGTTTCCTCTGCTTATTTGGAACCCTGATTTCCCGCACAACACAAGTCAGATATAGCCAGCAATTTACGGGCATGGCTACGCAGTATTCTAACGAGGAAAATTAGCGACTCCATGATTCCAAAAGCCTGTCGGATCTAGTTTGTCTTTGATCCCTCGCAGCCTCAATGCCTTTTCCGCTCCAAAATACCATAACGCGTCATCTGTATGTGGCATGGAAAAGTTGATATAGCCGGAATCCATGGCTAACCCTTGAGAGGTAATATCTTCCTGAAGCTTGCCCGCCCAGCTTGCCGCTACGCTCCTCGCCGCCTCATCGGCAGCCGGAGCTCCGCCAGAGAGCCCGATGAGTAAATGAGACTTTCTATTGTAGAAACTCGCACCGTCATTCACCGTCGCGGCCACGCCATGACTCGAATGTATTACGATACTGCTTGTTGCAGTCGGCAGCGGCATCTGCGTGAAAATGCGACCAAGTTTGGAAGACCAGCCGTCCACGCAACAGGAGTGAACCGTGTATGCAATTGATTCGCCATATAATTGAGGGTTCGGGATCGACAAGGTGAATAGCTTGGGGGTGGCTGTACGTTTTTTGGCGATTAGCAACTCTGCTCATAATACCGACGCTGTAACCCCCTCCCGCAACGGAACTTACTTTCAGTCACCGAATTAGCCACGACAGTTCCGAGAGCCGCGAAGGAGTGCAAAAAGGCTTTAGCCTCGTCAATATCCCTTTTGTCGTCCTCCAGTGACCAGTATGCCACGAAACAGAGCAATCCTCCGCTACCAGGTGGATTGATGATCATCAATTCCCCTGCAAAGCTTGCGGGTCTTCCGGATCGTGCGTAAAGCTCTTCCAGTTTCCCGAAAATTGAGGGTGCCTCGCTGAGTGGGAACGTGACGATGCCACCGAGACCAGCCGTTCGCGAGTATATCTTGATTCGTAGTTGAACGATCACTCCTAACAAAGCTGCTCCTCCGCCTCTAAGTGCCCAAAGTAGATCACCACTATCATCTGCCGTGTCCACCACTTGGCCTGTTGCGAGAACGACCCGTGCGCCTTGGATTTGATCGACGCCTAAGCCCATCGGGCCGGCAAGGATGCCGTAACCACCGCCACAGGCCCAAGAGGTATATCCGACTCCTCCGGCGAAGGCCGTTGGCGTCGTTAGTCCTTGTTGATCTAAGACCTGCAACAAGCGTCCACATGTAGTCCCACCCCCAACTGTGGCTAGTTTCTGGCCATCAGAGACGACCACAGTATCAAGTGATCGCATATCCAACAGTACAGCTCTAGTATCCTTAACGCAACTACGACCCCCAGGATCATTGCCGCCAGTGATCACAACAACGAGTATCTGTTTCTGAAAACAGTAGCGCACGACTGCTTGGACCTCAGTTTCACTGCGAGGGCGTATTATTGCAGTCGGCGGTTTGGCATGAGTTTGATCGAATGTCGCTCGGAGCTCGTCAAAAGACGGGGATGAGCGCGTAATGACGGGCAGATCCGGCACTTCCTTGAGTAGAGGGGCGATGGTTGGCGCTTCCAATGCTATAGTCTCCGGAGGGGACGTCTGGACGCTCTTCAGGGAATCCATGATGATAGTTGTTGGAGGGGTATGGAGTAAAGTGTCTCTTAGAGACAAAGAAAGCAGGGTGGGTGAGAAACGACAGTAATAGCAAAGAAAAAGATTGATAAAAAAAGGACCGCAGTGTACGCTGACGTCTCGGACTTGAATTTTTCAATATTTTGGTAAGTGGCCAGGACTGGCATCTCATTAATTGTACTTCGCAAACTAGTGCTTACGGCTCATGCTCACTGCTTATCTGCCCTGGCGATGGAGCGCAGCTGCTGTGTGCGTGGTCATTCTCCACTCAGTTCAATTAAGCCCCTCCTGCGTCGGTTTTTCTCCTTCATTATGCACGAAAACGTTGGTCGTAGCTTCAGCATTCCCTTGCTTTTATGCTAGCTGTACTGAGTAATTTAAGCATGATCTTCATTGGCTCTGAACATGGACATTAGGAATAAGTATGGCTGGCAGGTACTTCCATGGGCTTCCTTGCCGAGTATCCAGTATTCACTTAACCTCAGAGGCAATGCAATTCGTTCAGCGCACATCTGCTACAGTAGCATGAGAAGTATAGTCTTTCCTACATTATTATTTAGACGGTTCCGGCGGCCTCGGCGCCTTCACCAGGTTGCAAAAATTAGCGAATGCTGCCTTCCGCTCATCCTCAACGTGAATGCCGTGCTCCTTGATGGCGCCGACTGGAATCTCGTCCTGACCGTCCAGCAGCCCGCTCCAGGCCCCATGTATGAATTCCTCGAGTGGCATTCCAATTTGGGGCTGTCCTTGGGTGGTATGAAGCTCGGTTTTCACAGCTGGTGGAATAATCTCGACGACTTTTAAGGCAGGATAGTCGTCTGCCAATGTGGCACGAAGTGTCCATGCCAAAGTGTGCAATGCTGACTTCGTCGCCGAATAGGTTGGAGCTCTAAGAGACGGTACGAGGGCGAGTCCAGATGTGACAAAAATAATAGCTGTAGGCTGCTTTAGAGAGAGCCTTTGCAGGTGCGGAAGGAAAAGAAGGCTGGTATGAAGCGGCGACAGATAGTTCGTATGAAGCTCCGATGTCATGGTCTCCAGAGAAAGGCTCTCGGGTGCGAGAAAGCATGGGTGGTGCTGGAAACCCGCATTCAGCAGAATGGCATCGATTTGGGGGAACTTGGTTGTGAGGCTAGCAGCATATGAGAACGTGTATACATGAGTGTGTTTGTAGAATTTAATCGGGCAAACTGATGAGACATACCCCGCAACCCAGGCACTTAGAGCATCGATCTTGCTCACGTCAAAACACTCAGTCGCAATTTTGTCGGAACCATATTGCTGGGAAAGGTTCTCCAAGCGCTCTTGGCGTCTCCCAACGGCAATTACAAATGAACCGTGCTGTATGAGCTTTTCAGTGAGGGCTTGTCCGATGCCTGAGGTCGCCCCACTAACAAGCACACATTTGTATGGAAATGCCATGATAGACGTAGTGAATTGTTGGAGGTGCCGTAGTAAGTTAGAATATCTCTCATGAGTTGCGATCGTCGCATAGTACGGCCGGCGGCGGATTTACCCCTCTTTGCACGTGTCGAACAATTTTACGGTGTGCCATTGGGCCGGACGACTTGTTAAGTAGGCATGAAGGCAGTACTTAAGCTGAGCACCCAAATGTCGTAGTATGACTGGTCGAGACCCAAACGCTGCGACTGGCCCCCGGTTATACCTAGCCTCGGATTGGACTCGGCGACTTTAGCGTCACGAATTCGACGAAGGCACATCTGCATCGTATTACATGATCATGATCTCCAGTTTCCAGCAGGCTTGCTTTTACTTTTTCTCTACCTTATTTCCGAGTAGTAGTATAATGTTGACGAGATCTCAGCATGGTCGAAATGATGATGCAATGATGCACCCGGTTTGGGCATCATTTGCTGCTAGCAAAGCAAGCTTAAATGCGACCAACATTACCTATTTTCTAAGAAGGGCGTCAATGTGATTCTACTGCGGTAATTACTCCATGAGTCTCGATGCTCAAGCCCATGACAGACCAACCTAGACAAATGCCACCTAACCTTAAAATTAACACACCATAGTGGAAAAGCGCTAGCACCACAGCAATCTCTACTGGCTCAGCTTGCTTGATGTGAGGAATTGCTCAAACTATATGCAATATGCTTTATTAATCACGGAAATCGGCAATATATATCCAGCGCTCAATAGGAAAGGATCGGGATCAAGGGATTATCATTTGGCACTTGCCAATCGTGATACAAAGTTATACGGGTATGGCAGCATCCAAAATGTTTCTGGAAGGTAGCTAGATCTGGACCCTTAAAGACCTTCCCTCAGCAAGGAAGCACGAAAATGTATGTTCCATCGATGCCTAGCACCGAAATATTCTACCGTCAGAGATTTACTTGAGCCAAATTCGCCAGAAGAAGTCCTGGATAGAGTACAGAGTTTCCGGACTTAAACCAGACGGCAAAAATAGCCTCGTCAAACCCCTTTTAAGGCACTGACGAAGTAGATTCCCATAACTATTTAGACGCTGGCAAGCATTCCAGCATTTTGTTCACCCTCTTCCTAGCACCATATACGTACTGAGCGTCTAGCCTACTTGCTAAGAGGAACGTCTAACATGGAGATCAATCACTTTGAACATAAGGCTATCATACTTTCTAAATGCGGCGCGGAAGTCCTGCCATTTCTGAGCATGACTTGGTAGGTCAGTTCGATTTACCTAAGAAAGCCGCATTGTGGCGACTACATGCTGTACCAAAAGAAGTATTTAAATCGACAACGCATCAAGTCGAAAGGTTCTTCCAAGCAATCCGCAGACGTTTCGCAGCAGTTCCACTCAACATGGGTCTTGGTAGCTTGGACGCATGCCATCACCATGACGCTTTCCTTGGTTCTCACCACCTTTGTGGTATACTTTTACGTGCACCACCCGCTTGTCGGAACTTTGACCAAAATACGCTCTTCAGGTAAGATACCCTC